TGTTATCACACCATGAGGAAAATAATACAGTATGTGACCTTATACAAAAGAGAAAATCAGAACCAGTAGGTAGAATGAGAAAGAAATAAACTCTTTATTTTGAGCAAATGAAATTCGTGTTATTGAAGTTTGCATAAATAATAAATAACAGAACAGTATTGTTACATCACATTCTTTGAAAAAGATAATGAACAATATAGTTAAGAAATAACAGCCATGTAAATTTGTTTACCAAAACTAACGGTTTATGACCAGAACAAAATGCTGCTCCTCATGTTTTTCCCTGAGTGACACTGTGCTTTTTTTTTTTTGGAAAACTCATTTATAAATAAGATCAGAATGAACTGTTACATTGAAAAATAAAACATTTAAAGGAAGAGTGTGAATTTAAAAATGGACTGCTCAGATGAGATCCTTTTCTACACATTATCAGACAACAGGCCCTGTGAACATTTGTGACAGTTTCTGGAACATTATACAGTGTGAAACACAAGTTATAATTAAAAGGTTCTGGTGGGGCATATGGTGCAAACAGTGTACTTTTAAGTGATGATAAAATGTTTCAGCAATATGCAATAAGATATGCTGTGGAAATAAAGGAATGTTTCTAACAAAGGCTGTAATACATTTATGTTAACCATCTAGAAATTACGTATAGGGACGAAAACATACATGACCACCATCCTCGAGGTGACAGTAGAAGTTGCAAGTCTCTGTGTAAAAATATAAAGGATTTATATGACAGAAAAACACATTTGAGATAGAAAAATCAACACTTTACTTTGGGTTTATAATTCAGTTTTCAATAAATACAATAATATGGTTTCATTTGAATCAGCAGACTTTTGTTGGATTTGGATATATAATATTTACTCAAATTTTTCACAGAATATTAAAACAAAATCTCAAAATGTCATTTCTGAGTTGGGGAGGGTTGCAAAAAATAGCATATGTATAAGGTAACATTTGGCAACTGTGAAAACTCTTGTTTTTTTGTATTTGTTAATTTTTTTTTTTCATTTCAATGTCATAACAATAAATAAATGCATATACAAAATTTAAAACGATATTGATGTTTTCTCTGGGTGATATGTTGTAATAACAGTGCTTTTTGTACTTAACATTATTTTACACAATAGAGAGATATCAGATACCACAAATTGTATCAGATAAATGTTAGCAAACTGTATACAAATTCGAGATTAATTGAGCAACAGAAGTTAAAGCAAAAGGTGTTACAACCCTCCTCTATCTCCCCTATCTTGAAAACAGAAAAATTACACAGCCTAACAAGCCATCTTGAATTCAAAACC